CCAAAATCATAAAAATATTTTTCGAGTCTTCCTTTGACCTTGAACTTGATCTTGACTTCCTTGCTCTATAAATGATAAAAAAAGAGTGAGCCACCATATTCTCAGTAAGAATAATTTAAAACTCCAAACAAAGATTGAAGATAATATACTGATTCAACCTATTTCCCTTTAAACTTATCAAATCCTTCACAAAGCTCTATTTTCCATGCTTATACTACAACTACCTTGATCTATAAATAAGCTAGTTTCACTTCTCATATACTTCAATTCATTCAAAAGATATTCACAATTGTATAACTTATATTCCTATAATTATTTTTTATTCATTCTCAATCTCAATCATATAATGTCATAGTCACATTAATTGTACAATATTCACATATAAAATACTTTTCCTTCTCATATACCTCAATTCATTCAAAAGTTATCCACAAATGCATAACTTACATTATCCTAATTACTTTCATTTCATTCTCAATCTCAATGACATAATATCATAATCATATTAGTTGCACATATTCACATATATAATACCTTTCCTCATACACATATTCACATGACAGTAAATTCTCATCATTCACCAAACACAACCAACACACAAGCATAAATCCTTAATGTTTTATATGATAATATTATGTTACAATCATGGGAGGAAATGATAACTCATACTATCAATATGGACGTAGTTGTAGTTAAACATTCACATGTCATAGTTACTATCATAGTTATAATCATAGTCACAATCATAGTTACAATCATAGTCACAATCATATTACAATCATAGTTATTGTTATAGATACGAAACAAAGAAATGATCCATGAGATAGAGTTCATAATTATTCCTATCGATCCTAGATTGTGCATTTACTCATATCTCCCTGATGAGGAATCTTTACTGCCTACCATGTGTATTCCCTAATATGATTTATTCGTAAATTATATTTTGATCTTCTTATTTAATGATCTTCATTGATTTTCATACAATTCCTATTTCTTTATTCCCAAAAGTTTAATTTATTAATTTACAAACCATCAAACTCATTAATTCCCTGATTATTTAAATATCAAAAATCACCTAAAGACTTATATTCTCATAATTAGTCTCAAAATATTCAATCCATGAAATATTTACAATTCTCTCTCTAATTGCTATAATTTCCTATAATAAGATTTTCTATTAATCTCGAATATTCATACTTTTATTACTACTATATAAATATTTGTGCATTTTGATCAATATCATTTTCAAGATTATTATTACAATCTTGATTGTCATAACCATATTTAAATATTCAAGGATTTAATAAAATTTTTCTTTTTAATTTGCTTAGTTAATTTTCCTAGGCTATTTACCCAATATCCTTATCTTTATTCTCACAATCCATTAATTTTCTTACTTTCCAGATAAGGTTCTGTTTAATGTCAAGAACTAGGAACCCAATAAAAGCCTTTTCTAGCCCAATTTAATCCTGCCCACTATCCCTTTTGTCCTGTACTAGAAGCCCCATTAAGGCTTAGCCCACATGGGTTAAATTTTCCATTCTTCATATTTATTTTGTTTGCTTTTTGATTTCCACCTTTGTTTAAATCTTTCTTTTCCTTCTTTTCCTTTACTAGCCTGCATTTCATGCCTAGCCCTTTTTTTTTATATAGCTCAGCCCACCAGGGCTAAATTGCTCTTATCCTCTTAGATCTCAAGCCAAGCGATGCGTTTCCCTGGTGATGTTAAAGCTACTTCACCTAACCTACACATTTTGCCACTTATATATATACCTACCATTACAAAATACGAGAAATAAAATAAGGAATGGGATACAAATTGCTAAGCTTATGGTAAACTCGGAGAAAAGAGCTTACCATGACCTACCTTGGCAGCAGCAGTGCTCGTAAATGTTAGAGGAGCATTGGATTTCAAGTTCCTCCTCTATTCTCGCATGCTCTCTCTCTCTCTCTCTCTCTCTCGTTCTGACTTCCACCCCCTCCACTCTTCTTTTATTTTTTTGAAACCCTAAACCTCTTAATAGTAGTCCTCATTAAATCAACATCAACGAATTTTGAGAAGAATTCCTCAACATTAATTTATTTTTCTTTCATCAAAACAACATCATTTGATGTTTTAAAAACGATGTTGTTTTAAGCTTCTGGTGCTCAGCTCAAATAGCGTCGTTTGAACAATGGGCTGGGTTGCTTACCTGGACCTGGATGTTACACTACCTAAATGTACAGTGAGTCTAGAATTGTGCTTATTCCGGGATGAGCTTTTTAAAGTCCTAATCATTAAGGATGCACAACCTTCATCTAAATTTGAGTAAACCATCATTATGAATTATGAAATTAGGTTTTAAGCAATGTTATGATTCCTTCTTCAAAGTCCCAATAGTAGAATCAACCTCTTGACCATCTTTGATCTTCCGAATCAGTACTGGTTGAATTCTCAAGTTGACCATATACATCCCCTATCTCTAAGTGTCTAACTGTAATTCTTGAAGAGCTTTGAGAATCCCACTTGAAGACCATTAATCTTGCCATCATTCTAGTTGGGCACTTCCAGTTCACTATGACTTCAATCTTCGATGGATTATGGCTATCCCATTTTTTGAGACCTTATGATGTGGTCTTAGACATTGGAGAGTTGAATATCTTGGATGGCTAAGAAAAGGATGACCTCAAGCAAGGAGTTGCCTACGCCCATGAGCTCACCTGCAAGAGATGCATAGGCGAAGGTGTTCGTATACACAAAGAAAGCAATAGAGGTCGCCTATGCATGCACGGAGACAGCATGCCCATGACCAGTGCACATGCATAAAGACCGCATAGAGAAGAAATCCCACACTTGTGTGGATTCCCAATCCCACGAGAATTTGGAGTCTTATTTTCTTTTGGATTCAATATCTCCAACTTCATCAAGGATTCAGTTTTCCGTCTACGATCCATTATCCCACCAATTTAACACCAAGATAATTCTATTAAGCATCAAGAAAACAAGTTCAAGATTCTTGGAAGGAATATTCAAAGAAGTTAACCTAAAAAAATCCCCCAAGGGTCTAACCACTCAGCCCAAAGGCATTCAAGCAATGTAAGGAGTTTGAAGGTCCAAGACTCATCAATAAGCGGCCATCAAAGCAAGGAGAGGCTTGGCCATGCATGTTTTCAACCTAAACCCACATGACCGAGAAGGGGGAGGAGGAAGGAAGCTTTCCCGAGTGATAACTTTCTTTTCCTTACGATTTCTGAATGGTTTTCACTTTGAGAGATTTAAGACGATTCATCCAACTTGAAGAAACATCAAATTAGAAGAGGAATACAAGGAGTCAGCCGAAAGACTCTTAAAGAAAGAAACTCCAGGAAGAAGAATGGTTTAGACCCAGATATAGGCCCAATGGATCATTTGGGCTTGGGTGCCCATTGGGTCCACACATGTGGATACCCATGTGTGCGGGAATGGAGAAGACACCCACGTAAGATTCCATCGCACACATGGGAGGAGCACAGTGGCACGCATGTGCATCATCCAAATGCACATAGGCAGGCGCGTATGTGTAGGCTGGGATGCCATATGCCCTAAGCGCGCGCGTGGCACGCACGCCCAATAGGCCATCCACTAGGTCGCATGTGTGCAGGAGGACCCTATCACACGCATATAGGCACTGCAAGCATAGAGGAAGTTTTCGTGCATACATAGCGCATGCCAACAGCAAATGCATGCACCTGGCATTTCTGGATAGCATGTCTGTGCGCCTATGAATCCTACTTGGACTTTTCAATTTGCTTCCTTTTTCTAGCCCACTTTTTATTCCAAATTCCACACGAATTTTAAAGGATTTCAAGCTTAAAAGGGGGTTGAAGAGAGGGACTGCAAATAGAGGAATTCTACTACAAATAAATAAGTATTATTTTATTTTATTTAATTTTTCTTAATTTTGTGTAAGTTTAGAATTAGGATTCTTTATTTAATTAATTTTCAGCATGAGTCTTAGTAAAAATAATGTTTAGGATTTACATTTGAACTATGTAATCCTACTTCCATTTAGATTAGAAATTAAAAGCCTATATAAAGGCTATAGCTCTAAGGATGTAAAGAACAATTCATCAAATTAAAAAGTTCAAGTTTTTTTCTTAAGAAAATTAGCTTTGTGGATTTTTTTAGAGTTCTTCAAGTTCTTTAAATTAGGGATCTTTTAAAGTCTTGTTGAACTGGGGAATCAATCGACTAATCAAGTAAGTTGTAGCATCCCTCCTTATCTTATTTATTTTCATGATTATCTTGTTCTTGTATTCTCGGTTGGGTGGGTGTATAACCAAGTAGGGAGATTAAATTAGGCGATAAAACTTTCTAATTTTATGTGGTGTGAGGTTCTGGGAGTATTATAATCCTTCTAATCTCAGCACGGAAGGTTGCCTCTGCACCCACACAGGCAACATGCACACGCCCAATGCACTTGTGCATGAAAACTACTTGAATAAGAAATCCTACACTCGTGGGGATTTCCAATTGCGAGAATTTAGTGTCCTATTTCCTTTTGGATTTCAACATCTCCAAATTTATCATAGATTGGGTTTTCAGTCCAAGATTTATTCTCCCAATAATCAAAACCAAGATCATTTGATGAAGCATCAAGAGAGCTAGTTAAAGATTCTTGGAAGGAACATTCAAAGAAGTTGACCCAAAGGAATCCCCTAAGGTTCCAACCAATCAATCTAAATGCTAACATACTATTTTGATATTCAAATAAATATTTTTCTTAATGATGAGTTAGGTAAATGAGGAAGATTAACGGTAAGAAAAATAATAAACTTTTGAAATCTTACGATGTTAATTTAATATTGTTTTCCTCACTGAGCATATAGAATTCACTCTTTCCATCCTCCCATAGAAGAGGAAGAAAATGAGGATCTACAGGCAGACTTACCCTTGGAAGTCTTTGTAGATCCCGTGGATCCACAAGTCTGAGTGCATGTCTGTTTCTGCACTCTGATGAATTACAGTAGCCTAGTGAAAGAAGTGACCCTTATGTTTTGTATTTTTAACCCCTTCTGGCTTCAATGATGTATGTATTTGAAACATTATATATATATCTATAAGGGATTTGTTAAAGTCTGATTTCGCTGCATAAATATTATCATGCACTCGCTATTCTGAATTTGTATTTGACACTGATTTGCTTTAATTGGCACCTAGGATGTCACAATACTATTGGACTCATCAGAGTGCGGGAACATTCATGCACTCAGACTTGTGGATCCAAGGGATCCTCATAGACTTCCAAGGGTAGATCAGTCTACGGTTCCTCACTTTTTTCCTCATCTAAAGGGCATGGAAAGAGTGAGTTTCATATGCTCAGTAAGAAAAAGTATTAAATTAACATCGTAAGATTTTAAAAGTTAATTATTTTAACTTACCATTTAACCTCTTCGGTTATTTATCTAACATTATGAAAAACTATTTATTTTTTACGAAAACGATACGTTAATACAAACAACCAAACATACATCATCACATATAATAGAGAAAATCAAATAAGTCATGAAATGCTCAAATTTTTGTGTCATGCTTTACGAAGTCGTTACAACTTCAATCTCTGAGGGAAGATACAGGTTTTCAACTACCCAAGTAGAATGACCAGATCAAATACAGATACGGTAATTTACTCAGACCCATTTTTGGCTAGTCAAACCATGGTACAATCTATGACCATGGCCACACCAGCCATAGTGGCCCTAACAGATATCTACAGTCACAAGTGACCCCTACAGATAGTGCGATACCACTCTCGTAAGAGGGTACGCCATCATCCACTATGAGTGGTCGTTTTATGTCTTTCCAGAAAAGATAGGGGAAGGGAAAATAGATACCCCTTAGAGATAAAAATCCTAACGAGACACTTGGTGCAATATGTATGTCAATACAGATATATTTCAGACCATACAGGCTTCATTCTACTTTTCTTTTTTTTTCTTTTATACTTTTTACTGTTACCGATTACATATTACATTTATTACAAGAAAATTCATCAAGTGTCTGAAATTCACATAGCATGCTTGAAAACAAGAACAATTCGACTTATATGAACATAGAGGCATACAAAATAAGTAAAATAACAATCATATTAATTTAGTTTAATTAAAAATACTTCATAAGATGTCGAAAGAAATACTAGATTCCTTACCAAAACCTCAATATTTTCTTCTTCATCGTTCTCTTTTCTTTGTCTTCTTCTCTCACTAGACTACTATATATATATCTCTCTCTCTCTCTAAATCTTTAAAAAATGGGAGAATGAAAGTGTGAAGAGGAAAGGAAGGGGAATGGAAATTTATAGAGTTTCAGAACCGCCGGATTCACACCAAGTGGCGAAATCCGGTGAAGAGAGAGGAGAAAAAAATGCTTGACATAAAAGACGAGGGAGAAGGGCCTTCTCCACCAGTTGTGGTGGCAACGGCGGCGAGGGCGGCACAAAGTAGTGGCGGCGCACTGCTTGAGGTAGCAGTTCTTCAGTTGGAGCGCTGCAGACTAGCCTACAGGTGCACAGGCCTCCTGTCGTGCGTGTAGGGGCAAGCCTGTGCGCAGGCCCCAAGCGCACAGGGCCTATCCGCGCAGGCTTGCTACACGAACGGTGCCTGCACAGTGTACAACGCTTGTCCGCGCGCAAAATGACACGCGGACGGCCCACTTGAGCGCAACAGGACGCGTGACAACATGTGCGCAGGTCCTGACCTCGCATCGTACGCGCGGAGGGGATGTGTGTGTTGTATGCACATCCTATGCGGGCATGTGTGCGTGCAGATGGGACGTGCGCATTGTGTGCACGTTCCGCGGCTACTATGCACGCATGCGCATGCGCACGAACAAAGTGCCCAACACCAACATGGGCAACTTGACTCCCCACGGGATTTTTCCCATTGGATTTTCTCCCCAATTTGCCCTTTTTTGATTTTTTTTCTCAATTTTGATATTTAATTTAAATGAGTTAGACTTAAAATTAAATTAAATTAGTTAATTAAATAAAATTAAATAAAATAATCAACCAAAATTACAAATTAGTATTAAGCAACATAAATTAATTAAGTTTAACACGGCTAAAGGCCCGAATAAATAGAATTTCTAAATTATTTTAGCACAGTGATGGGCGAGGTGTTACAGGTTGCCCCAAAACAAGCCCTCTCCTATTTTTTCTTAACTATTTAAATATTTAAATATTTATTTTATTATTTTAAAATTTCAAAAGATTTTGGAACCTACTTTTAATTACTCATATTTTAAATTAAAAATCCAACATGTTTAAATTAGTTTCCACATGTGTTTTACATGGAATTCACAAAGGATAAACTTTGGATTATTTTAATTAATATTTTATTGTGATTCTATCCCTTAGAATTATTTAATTAATGGATAGGATAATTATTTTATTATATAATTATCCTAGATTAATATAGAATTTTATATAGGTTATTATTTTATTAATTACCTCAAGATTTTTGTACTCATCTATATTGCCCGAAAAAGGTTATAAATAGATCTTTGCCCCAATGATGTAAAACACACATTTGAGAATAAATTTGTGAAAATTCTTGAGTTTTTTTATTTTTCTTCTTTTAGCATTTTTGCTAAAATTAGTTTCTTTAAGTTCTTCAGGAAGCAGGAGTCTTCAAAAGTCTTGTTGAGCCAAAAAGCGGGGATTAACCTATCGGTAAGTCCGTAGCATTTTTTCTTTTCTTATTTTATTTTTTTAGTCTTTATTTTTACTTTCCTTTAAGGTTGTAGATTCAATTAGAGGGAGGGGTTTAATTCTAGGTGGTTATTGTTTTAGAATTGCATAGGTTAAGTGGGTTTCAAGAGTTGATTTGATGCTCCCCATACCCTTTTGCGTCAAACCTTCTCTCTATTTTCAATTACTATTTATTTGAAAGTTGTCAAGTTCTATCACTCTCGTACATATCAGATTGGTATAAGATCATTTTGATTCTACCTGTATATGGTTAAGATTAGAAGTGGTTACAAAAAAACAAAAAACTATTTTCTATTCTCAATGTTCACTGATGACCCTCAAGAAGAACCACAAGTTTTAAGTTTGTTATAATGGCACAAGACTCTATTGTAGTCGACTTGGCCATGCAAAGCTTATATGCCTGAATAGATGGCAAAAGTTATGTCTTAGATGGAGGATCAATCTCGTGATGATTCTGATCAAAACTCCATGGAGATAATTAAAAGTCCTAGTCTAAGTTTAAGAAAAAAGAAAAAAGATCAATCTTCTAAAGAAGAGGAAGAAGAGAGGCTATCAAGACCTTTTAAGGTGGAGGCAAAAATCGACATTCCATAATATGATGGTTTAGTTGATGCTAAAAGGTTAGATTCTTGGATCAATAAGTTAGAGACTTACTTTACCTTATATAGGTATAGTAACGAAGACAAGGTCTTATTGGTAAGGCTAAAAATGACAAGTCATGCCTTAGCATGGTAGAATTCATATATACAAACCCATGAGGATGAAGAAATTACTTGGAATAATTTTTTGGATCTCATCTAAAAAGAATTTTATCCAACGGGCTACTAAAAAGATTGATGGAGGCGATGGCACAACCTACGCCAAAAACGAGACCAATTAATCCAAAAATATACCATTGAGCTTATACATCTAGCTGTGGCATTAGGAGTTTCAATAGATTCACATGAGATGTTCATGAAATACATCTCAGGACTATTGCCATGTAGAAGTACTGAGATCTCACTTTATAAACCAAATGACGTGTCTAGCATAAGTACGATAGCTATGACCATTGAAAAGAAAAATAGTTATAACAAGCAATCCTTTGAACGCTTAAGGCCAGACTCCTCAAAATAGAAAAATTTTAAGAATAATACTTTAGCTTTATTGTCCTCATCATCAACGCCAAGTGCTTGAAGGTACTGTAACTACTATAAGATTGAGGGTCATACAAAAGAGAAATATTGGAAATTGCACATAAAGAAAAGACCAAAGGGTAAGATTGTGGCAACATAACCTATGATCATGAACCTATAATAGTTGATTAGGTTCAAAGAGCATATCCAAACTTATCTCTTGTGGCAATACCAGAAGTTATGGATTTAGAGTCACTTACCAAACATGATGAATGAGAGGAGTTGTTTGTCATAAAAATCCAAGTAAAGCAAGAGGTTATTATTGCCATGGTGGATAATGGAAGCCAAATTGGTGCAAAATTTTAGATTATTCATA